ACTCCCCGAACTCTGTCCCCACTCCCCTGTCCCCACTCCCCTGTCCCCAGCCACAGAATTCTGTCCTCACTCTCCTGTCCCCAGCCACAGAGCTCTGTCCCTATTCCTGTCCCCACTGGCACCCTGTCCCCAGCTGCACTCTGTCCCCTGCTGCAGAACCCTGTCCTCTGCCCTCCCTGCCCCCCGTTCCCTCTTCCCTGCCCCCCACCTCAGAACTCTGTCCCCACAAAATGTAGAATTATAAATGCTTCATTTTAGATTTAAATAGCATGAATAAAAAACAGACCATTTATTTCATAACTATAAACACGTGATTTTAATTTTATATATCGCATAATTTAAAAATAAACTGTTTATCCGAGTGTGTAAGTAAAGGTTGGGGATAGCAAGTGATGGACAGGAGGAGAATAGAGAGGGCGGGGCTTCAAGGAAGAGGCGGGGCTTCAAGGAAGGGGCGGGGCGGGAGATCTTTGCCTGTTTGGAGATTTAAAAAGTGATCTTGGGAAAGGTTGAAGACCACTGCTCTAGAGGTAGCACGGACTAAGGCAGGGAGAGTAAACACAGAAGACACGCCCATGGCAGTGGCAACTAATATTTCCCTGCAGAAATTGAACGTGATGATGAACTCACGCTATCCTACTGGAATGTACCACTCTCTCCTCTAGATGGTGCATACGTGGCTTCACAGTGTGTGTGTGTGAGTGAGTGAGAGAGAGAGAGAGAGACAGATTTACACATTGTATATGTGGGTTTAAGAGGAAGAGGCAGACAGACATGCATTGTCCTTTTAAGTATATTGACTCCCAAAATTGGTGGAAGTAGTGGTCCGGGTGTGGGAGGGGGTGTGCTGTAGTACTCCCTGACTTGAAGTGGTTTCCATTATACATCGGGTTTACAGTTTGGTTCAATATCTGTCAGCACCCCCATTAAAAATATCGTTCAGGCACCCTTGGCTGACTCCACTTCAGGTATTCTACCCTTGTAAATACATAAGGAGATTCAGGCACAGAACTCTGTAGCTGTGATATCCAGCTTTGTGGAGATGGTATGGAGTGGAGGGATCGATGGGGTGGGGGACATCCTGACATCAGCACCCCTCCCTCTGCACCTTCAAACAGCAAGCAGGAGGTTCCCGGAAGCAGCTCCAGGGGGCAGCATGACAGTGGGAAGAGGGACAGCTGCAGCTGCATAGCTTACAGTGGGGGTGGGCAACAATTTGGATGGAGGAGCCTCTCCAAGAATTTGGTAAGTGGTTGAAGGCTGTACTCTTTCATTATATTAATAAAGGAGATGTAGGGATCTGGGATGAAGGTTGGATGCAGGGAGCTTAGGGTAAAGGATTGAGGTGTGGGATCTGGGAGGAAGTTTACGTGAAGAAGGAGATTGTGACTTTAGGCAGCGAATTGGGGTATAGAAGGAGGTGCAGGGTCTGAGAGGGGAGTATGACCTGGGGTAGTGGTGCAGGGGTTTGGGTTGTGACCTGGTACCCTTAGTAGCAAGACACTTCCTGGGAAAATTTCAAGGGGATTGGGATTGGGTACAGGAAAGGATTCTGGCCTGGGGGAGAGGTGTAGGAGGAAGGAGTGCAGGGTTTGGGAGAGGGTTGTAACCTGGGGCAGGACTAAGAGGTTGCAGATCTGGCCAGCAGATCATATTTTGACCAGTCCAGCTTTACGGGGAGCTGATGGGGGACTGCTAGCCTACCCCGGTACCAAACCCCCACAAGTACAGGCTGCTTTTCCAGAAAATCCTGCAAGTAATGGATAAAGCAGGTAGCCAAACAACATTATAAGGGAGCATTGCACAACTTCAAACAAGCATGTGCTCTAATATATAAGCAATGTAACAAAGAAACAACAACATTAACAGGGACAACATTAAATGAGGGGTTATTGTATTCCGATCTAGGTGAGAGGACATAGTTAAATGCCAGCAGCTTCATTAAAGGAAAAATGTTGAATTCAAAAAGTCCAGCCAAAGACAGAATCAAAGCCATTATGGGATTTTATATAAAAACCAACAGCCTGACTTGCATCTAGAAACCAGTCGGGCTCTGAGCACAGATATAATATGCTCAAGGTGTAAAATAACTATAAAATGCTGAGCTGCTTGAGCATGATCCGATAAAGCATTAACAACCTGTTTAACTTTAAGCATATGAGAGATCTCATTTTCTGCCAAGAGAGTATTGAAGAAGGAACATGTCCACAATCACTCGCTGCAAATCTTAACACATGTTCCTAGAGACAGTGGCATATTTCCTATTTAAATCACCTTAAAATTAATAACTGAATCAAAAACAATCATTACGAAGTTTATAGCAGACAAGAAATAACTTTAATGTATGTTTATATATTTTTATTTAGAGACAGAATCAATTAATTTTAACTGCTTTGAAATCCTCAACAAGAAGTTCTGTCTTAATTTCCTGTTTAATTGATAAAGCTTTGGCCATCTTGGGCTTCGACAGTCAGTTCATTTTTCCTCTAGAAAAGAGAGAATTATTTGGAGGGAGTCTAAAAGCCCTAAAATAGGTGAAATCAATGAGAAAAATGATATTTTAAGTGCTTGGTAGCTATGGCATGCACATTGCTTGTAAATCCAGACTGTCAGGATTACACGGTAAAAATGAGTAATCCTTGTGCAACATGATAATTGCAGACCTGTTAGATGTTTACTCAGAAATGAAAAGAATGTATCTAGTGATGTGTCCCTGAGGGAGATTGTTCATATGCATTTCATTCTATAAAATAATTTTTTTCCTATTGACATCTCTCATATCTTTTCTGGTACAGGCAGTCCCTGGGTTACGTACAAGATAGAGACTGTAGGTTTGTTCTTAAATTGAATTTGTATGTAAGTCGGAACTGGTACATATTGTAGGGGAAACTCTAGCCAAACATTTCTCCAGAGCTCAATTTTATTCTCCCACACCTCACTTCCCTCAGTCCTTTATTCTCAAGCTGAGGAGTCTGCTGAGAAAAGCCGCTCCACGTTTCCCTGGTCTGCTGGGGGGAGCACTAGCTTCCCGTCTCCCTGGTCTGCTGGGGGGAAGCAGCTAGTGCGGGGTTGCCTCACCCCGTTTGTAAGTAGGGATCCGATGTAAGTCGGATCCATGTAACCCGGGGACTGCCTGTTTTTCTTTTTTTATGTAATGAAAAAAAATGCAGATATGTAGTTTCAGTTTTTAGTAGTAACATCTTAACATGTTTACATTATCCTTCTTTATCCAGATGCCTTGGATTTTGTTTGGAAAAAAGAAAGACAATATCCTTACTATCTGCCAGGAACAAAGCAGATGTCTTTATTAATTAAAATATATTTTGGAAACGGAAGATCATTACTACATATAAGTTACAATGGACAGATACTAAACATTTGGCCATACTTCTCATGAATGTTTGATAATTCTACAAGTGTCAAAAACATACGACAATATGCTGGAATGTATTCTGTGTTGTTGAACCATAACTTAGAATTGTGCTAAATAAGATGGAGAAGCAACTGCTTTTTTATAGCTCAGTACTCAGGCTCAATTGGTAGCCTGCTTTTTTAAAAGAAATATTAAATGTGTAATTATTTACTCCATAAAGGTTACTTTTTAAAATATAGAATTATTTTTCTTACTACTTCCATAGTTGTGCATAAATGTATAACAGTCAAGTATTTATTCCTATTAGTCGATTGTTTTAATTCTGAACATTTTGCCATGTAAATAGATTGGAATAATGTTTATAGGAACTTGCTAATTAGTGCAGTAACTAAGATATACTGCCTACCTGGCTGAAATTTACAATATCCTTCACCCATAAAGATGGGCAAAATAATGGTTTATGGTCTATTTATTCTAACACAAGCTTCTTGCAAGATCACAAGTTGATATGGACATTTTAGCAGTATATGATAATAGCAATTAATTTAATGTGCACAGTCTTTTTAAAATATTTTAACTATAGTTTGTGTGTCTGTGATCTCTGAAAAAGTAGAAAGGATCCATTATTGCATTTGAAAATGCTTTTAATGAAAAAGGCCATACAACCTAATAAATACCATGCTTTCACTTCTTAATCTCTTCCTTATATCCTTACCATTTTACTTTGTGGTACTGGTGAGAGGGAGGGATCCCTGCTTTCATGACAAGGACTGGTTCAAAACAGGCTTTCACAATAATTTAAAAAACAGCTCTCATTCAAAAAATCTACCTGCTAATGAGCACTGCAGTTAATATTCTCAGGGATTATTCTGACAGTTAAGAAGTCTTTCCTAAAGTCCAACCTAACCTCCTTTCCTCCAGCTAAGTCTATTGCTTCTTGTCCCATCATCAGAACAAAAAGCATACGTGATAAGATCATGATGTTAGCACTATAGTCAGGTCTATCCTAAATCTTTGCACCTATTTAACTAAATTGGTACATTTAAAAAGAACTATTTAAATCAAATCAATGCAGCCACCCATTGTGGATGCATATATATGTGTTCATACAAGAAGAGTTCTACTATTTTTTTAAATTAAATCAGTACATAGAATCATAGAACTGGAAGGGACCTCAAGACATCATGGAGTCCAGTCTCTGCCTCATGGCAGCACCAAGCACTGTCTAGATCATTCCTGATAGATGTCTGTCCAACCTACTCCTAATTTATTCCAGTGTTTAACCACTCTGACAGAAAGTTTTTACTAATCTCTAACCTAAACTTTCCTTGCTGTGGTTTAAGTCCATTGCTTCTTGTCCCATCATCAGAGGCCAAGGAGAACATTTTTTCTCCCTTCTCCTTGTAACACTCTTTGAGATATTTGAAAACCGCTATCATATCTCCTCTCAGTCTTCTCTTTTCTAAACTAAACAAACCCAATTCTTTCAGTCTTCCCTCATAGGTTATGTTTTTTAGACCTTTAATCATTCTTGTTGCTCTTCTCTGGATCTTCTCCAATTTCTCCACATCTTTCTTGAAATGTGGTGCCCAGAACTGGACACAGTGCTTCAGTTGAGGCCTGTTCAGTGCAGAGTAGAGTGGAAGAATGACTTTTCATGTCTTGCTCGCAACACTCCTGTTAATTCATCCCAGAGTCATGTTTGCTTCTTTTTTTTTCAACAGTGTCATACTGTTGACTCGTGTTTAACTATGATCCCTAGATACCTTTCTGCAGTACTCCCCATTCAGTCATTTCCCATTTGTATGTGTGAAACTGATTGTTCCTTCTTAAGTGGAGTACTTTGCATTGGTCCTTGCTAAACTTCATCCTGTTTACTTCAAATCATTTTTCTAGTTTGTCCAGATCATTTTGAATTTTGACACTATCCTCCAAAGCACTTGCAACCCCTCCCAGGTTGGTGGTATTTGCAAACATAGTAAGTGTACTCTGTATGCCGTCATCTAAATCATTGATGAAGATATTGAACAGAACTGGTCCCAAAACAGACCTCTGTGGGATCCTACTGGTTATGCCCTTCCAACATGACCATGAAGCAATAAATCATAAAACTGATTAGTTAAAGTGATACAAAAATGTTGTGTAGGCAGGCGCTAAGAGTAATATCATGGTAATAGTATGGATGCTTTTATAGTGTTGCTGTATTTGTTTGAATTCATGTCTGGAGTAGTGATGTAACAGTGCAGTCAATTAACCAATTAGCAAAAGCTTATAGGTTAATTCTGTAGACTACCCCATTCCTCTCCACCCCACCTCCCTCTACCAGTAAATTTTTTAGCAGGCTGGCCAGCAGCCTGGCTCAAACTGGCTCCGGGACCTACCCCTGCTGTGGCTCTGCATTTAAAGTGTATTAGGAGACAGCGGGCAGGCAGCTTGACTCAGTTCTGGTTCATGCTGGGTCTGGGAGCTCAGACCTCCGCCTCTGACGGGCTGCTGCCACCTCGCGCTATTGTCTCTTTATCAGCGGCAGCAGCACAGGGTGACAAGCAGCAAGAGGATCTGTTTTTTAAACTGCCTCCCCTCGCAGACTAGCTTCCACCTTACACCCTGTGCTGCTGCAGGCTCCACCCATGGGGGCTATTGACTAGCCGACTAACCAATAAGAATTAATGAAGTTACTTGACTATTCAGTTAACTGATATTTAACATCCCTAGTCTGGAGCACTCACACACCACTAAATCTTACTCTGAGTATGTAGTTTATTCTGGGCATGAGATGGAAGTTTACTACTCTTAAACTGGAAGACAGGTGGAATACTAAGGTGAATTTATTCATATATTAACAAACCTGCAAAACAGACTGCAATCTGAGGCTTTACATGGGGTCTCAAACTAAATCAGCTTCCTAAAAATGGGGACTTATTTTTTAAAACATTACAAATAGAGACATTTTCTATTTGATAATGTATGTTATTCTATTAACAGAAATTAAACTTTAACTGCTTTCATCTATGGTGTAACAAACCATTTGGTCTTTCTAATTAGAAGTCTAACAAACAGAAAATAACAGCTTTTAAAATTAATTTGTACATTAATGGAAAATGTAGCTTGTATAGACAAACAAGCTTACTATAAAACAAAACAAAATAGTCCTTGATTCAAGAAATCTTCATCAAATAAAAAAAAAACTAGGGAGAGTTAACAATTACACAGTAGAGAGAGAAAAAATTAAATTAACTCTCTCAAATATTTTCCTTTCCTTTAACTGATAAACCAAAACCCTTGCTTATTAGGGCAAATGCCTAAAGATAAAGTATCTCAACTCCTAAAGAACACTGATATTTAAATGTATTATATATTCAAGTGTCTTATGACACATAACTTCTCTTAAACTAATCATAATAGCTCATGATTTCAAATATTTTTTCTGTATTAATACAGTTTTGGTGACTTCTTTTATGAGAATATGTAAAGTATTCCAATTAAAATACTTTTTTATGTTTTATAAACTCTGTTATAATGGCATAATTAATTTATTCAGCTTTTTTTAAATTATAGCTCACTTAGAGCTTAAATTAACTAGTCTGTTGGGGGGACAATGTCTCATAGAGATAATGAAGAACTTTTATTGAAACAAAAGAATGAGAAGAAAAATCTCTATTTAACATCACTTGCGCTGCCTATGAAATGCTAGTAATTAGTAAGACAAATGGTGAACTATATTCAGGCACATCTAGTCCACATGAAAATGTGTTTGTATTATTGCTACCTCATTCTCCCAATCCCCCACTATTACCCTTTTGTTTGCCTCTCATATCTATTAAATCTTTATTTTAACCAAACTCTTTAGCATAGAAACTCTCTTTTATGACATGTTTGTACAATGCCTATCACAATGGACTTTGATCACTGATTGCATGCTCTACATGCTACAATAGTATATATTCAGTATACTGTATATAGATCCATATAAACACAAATCTTAAATGACATCCCCAGGAATAGTGCAGCAATATTTAAGTTTAACTGAGTGCTTTCATACTTTCTGCTAAAGTATGACATCTATACAGGTATGCCTGCAAATATGTTTTGGCTTTTACCAAAGCACAGGTTCTATAATAAATTACTATGCTCTCTAAAGTGCGCTAATAAATTTGTATAGAAACGGGCCAAGCACAAAAGTAGCAAAATTTGGTAAGTTTAAAATCACACAGCAATGTTGTCTTAAGCTTTCTTCAGTGTGGCCCACATCTGCATCTGACTAGGGTTTGCTTTGTCTGCATTTGCAATTAACTGTTCAGGATTGATTCAGGTACTGCTTATTAGTAGACAGGTTTCTGTGTGCAAGTGTTAATAGTTGAACCATGTACACTTTCATTCATTTCAGCTTTTTGTCAAAGTCATCAGACTGCAAATGATCTCTTAATGTAATCAGTGTAAGCTGTCCTTCAGTATGCTGGAAGCAAGAGGATTCTATTGTATTTATAAAATCACTTTGGCTATTTTTGAGTTACACAAATAGAGACAAAACTAGCTTTACTATAAGCAGGCTAAATGGACTAAGGAAGGGTGGGAGTACCAAACTTGTGTTTTCATAACAACTTGATGTGAATGCAACTGAAGGTGGAGTGCTTAATTTTTAGAAACCTTCCTGACCCAAATCTGAAGTCGAGGAGGAGTGGATTGATTTAAATTAGATCAAGATTTGTGCCTGGTTGCATAATTCACTCCAAGGGCGTAATTGATTGCAGTCTCTTGCTATGAACTGTGTACTATCCTACTTGGGAAGAAGAGTAATTAAATAAGAACAATCCTAGCTTGTGAGCAGGCATTGCTTCCCCTCAGCCTTTTTCTGTTGGTGTCATTTCAGGCTCTTGAGTACAGATGGGTGCTTTTTTTCATACCCCGACTGCAATCCTAGGGCCGGGGGAGGGGAGAACGGAGAAGGAGGTACAGTAGTAATTTGCTTGGGAGCTGCCGCTGCTTGGGCAAAGGAAAGGATGCTGCCTGGGCGGAGCGAGAGGGTATGGCAGCAGCTGCTGGCTGTGAATGGCTGCCTGGGAGCTGGGAGGAGAAGAATCTCTCTCCTGTCAGTGGATGCAGCCAGCCACAGTAGTAGCCCAGCCCGCCCCCCAAGGGCGCCC